AAGATATCTAAATGGCCAGTAAGCCTATGAAAAGGTCACTGGTCATCAGAGAAACATAAATTAAAATACACACCTTCACAATCCCACCAAAGAGGGCGCTGCCACCCCCACACGTGACAGGGTACTTCTCCGCTCTGGGCCTCAAGTTGACCATGACAGCCAGTCAAACTCCCACTCCACCAACAGACTCAACTGAAACGTCACCTCCTCTCCAAGCCTTCCCCAGTCCCAAGTCAGAGCCCAGCCCTGCCTCCTGGGTCTCCCTAACTCTCCACATGTTCGTTCGTATTCCCGCACAGGCCACTCCAGACGAATCTATTCACATGACTGGCCTTCCTACGGGACTGGAAGGCGGGGGCTCCATTTTACTGATCTGTCTGCACAAAGTATTATATAAATGTTGGTTGGACTTGGTGAATCCCAGGATGTTAACCAGGATTTTCAGCATCACCCCAGCCCCACGCCGCCCCTTTTTACCAGAGAGGCCAAGGAGCCGTCGCGTGCTTCACCTGCATTCCTGTCAACATTCCAGGCCCACAGTGTTGCTCCTGAGCTGGAACTCTGCCCGGAAGGAGACTTAGGGCAAAGTCCACTCTGACTGCTGTATTAAACCCTCTCCAATCCCCGCCTGGAGGGCAAAGGCTATCTCGAGTGTCCTCCTGGACTGGTGCTCATCTAGGCCCAGAGAGCACGCTCTCGGCTCCAGGACGCTGTCTCCAGAAAGGTCCACAGGTGCCATCTTTGTCAGTCATTCATGGACGGGGCAGCAGAGAGAGCATCCGAGCTCCTGAGGTTCTGAAAGCCAAACCTAGACTGGTGGTGAGGGCCCCAGAGGCCAGCACACCTGGGGAGATTCACCTGCGCACACGGGGGCTCCTCCTGGACCCCCTCACCTAGAAGTCCAGGGTCGGGGGGACCGCAGATATGTTTCCTGGGCCTCTCTGTTATTCAAAGTGCTTGCTGGTCAGACTACAGTTGGTCCCACTGGTTTGGTTTTTTAAAAAATATCCAAGCCCAAAGGTTTGGACAAGGCATCTCAGGTGGCTAAGGCCCTAAAGGCCTTAAAACCCCAATTCTAGAAGCTACTATAAATCATGATGAGAATTCCTGGTACAGCCCTGGGCCACGTCCAGTCCCCACACTAAGATCTATTGCCCCCACTGACCTGGTGGGTAGGGGAAGCTCTGTGCTGTGGCAGGGATCGTCTGTGCTCACTGAGAATACAAGCGGTCAGGGGCATTGACATGGGATTACAGTAGGAGGTTCGGGCCTGTGGCTCAGCTGTATCAGCTAAGGGACCTCTCTGAGCCTCAGTTCTTTCATCTTTGAAATAGGGATATTAACAACATCTTAAGAGCCTGAGGCAGTGTGGCAAAGTGGGGAAAGCATTGGTTGTGGAGTTTGCAGATCTGCGTTCAAAAGCCCACTCTTATCAGTTAGGTGGCCTCAGGCAAACTCCCCAGTCACAAACACCTCAGTTTCCTCATCTGCAAAATGGGGTAATAATGTCTTCCTTGAAGGGCTCTGGTAAGACTAGAGATGATATTAATATTGGGGACAAAAATAATAATATGTACTATTTCAGGGCTCAACATGCACCAGGACCTAGGCAAAGAGCTCTACGATTGATTACGTCATTTAATTTACAACCCTATGAAGTAAGTACTGTTGTTATCTCCACTTTATAGTTGAGGACATCGGCTTCAAAAGATCAGGTAATGGCAAATGTCACTGGCTAAAACGTGGTGGAGTTAGGATCCAAACCTTAGTCACCCAGCTGTGGGGCCTGGAATTTAACCACTGCACCATAAATGCTCCCCTGTAGAGCGTGCACACAAGACCCGGCCACAGCAGGTCTTCACCGTGACATGACGAGGGATCAGGGGGGGTTTGCAGAGTGTAGGACACCACACATACAGGGCTAAATGTTATGATTATGAAGAGGGAAATGCAGTTTCAACATCCTGGCAAAGGGAAACAATTAGGATCTACAAAATACAAGTGCTCCCACATATGGGAGTTTTATTTCAAGTCCATCTTGCAAGGCCAGGGAGATGATGGGGAAAGGGCGCCTGCACACACTCCCACAGCACACCCAGTCCCCCATTCGGGGCGGGAGTAGGGGGGACACCTCCATTTTACAGACAAGGAAATGCAGGGCCCCTGTGAACTGGGACCTGGACACTGGTCCCCTTATCTTGAGTACCAAACTTTTTCACCAAAAACACTTCCCCACACCGGGAATGCCCCTGGATCAGCCCCAAGTGAAACAGGCTGGACTCCAGCTCACCTGCCATCCTCCCTCTGGCCCTCTGCTGGCAAAGCCATCTGGCCTCGGGCTGTGGACCACCTTAAAGGACCTGCATAACACCACCTCCCACAGCACACCTTCCTGCTCCCTGCAGCAGGGGAGTTCCTCCTTTCCTAGAGCGCCTGACTACAGCCGCCAGGTCTCCCCTGAGAGCGACGAGGCCACCCACCCCCCTGGCACATGCTGCTGCCATAAAGAGGCCCTGATTAGATGATGCACGTGAAAGCATTTCATAAGCCACTTTTAAAAAGAACCTTCACCATCCTGGCTTCTCGGCTTCTTTAAGGTAAACACCTTCTCTGTACTCTTGTAGCACCTAGCCAGTGCTTGGCACAAAATACATTCCAACACAGACATGAAGCAGCTACCACGTGCCGGGAACGGTGCTGGGTGACGTCATAAACATCACCTCAGGTGACACTCACAGGAGCCTGTGAGAGCGGGGTCCTTGCTTCCATTTAGCAGATGAGGAAACTGAGGCAGAGAGAGGTTAAGGGTCTAGCCCAGGACCCGCCCAGCACTAGGCTGCAAGCTTGATGAACAGGGGACTTCCTCTATTTTATTCATGGCTATCTGGGACTTAGAAGGGACTCAGCAAATATTTGCTGAGTTTTTTAAAATGTAAAACAAATATCCCGTCAGTGGTACAAAAATTGTATTCCGTGAATATTTGCTTTAAAGTTTGAAGACGGTAACTTTTCTAGGAGAGAAAACTGTTAGCAAAACTGGAATAGGGAATTAGGACTTGACGTGAACCCAAATGCTGACCCCACCCAGCCCGGGAATTCTGATCTGAGTACGGCCCATACCCTGCACCTGAGCCCTGCTCCTTGCAGAATTCGGGGAGCCCCTCAAGGACAGGGCTGGGCCCTGGGGTTCTCTCAGCACAGGACCTGAACTGGCAGACCCCACTCAAACCTGCCTGCAGGCCTCTGGAGCCTGAGTTTGGGGTAAAACACAGCCCATAGTAAATGCCAGAACATCACCTGGTTGCAGGAATGACAGGGAACTCAATCTTGAGGACATAGTGGGGTAGTCACTTAGTCACACCTCCAACATCATTTTCTCATATCTAAAAACCATCTGTACTCTCATTTCCTTAATATTTTTCTTTAAACTAATTCACCTTTTTACTTAAACTTTCTGAAAAGGAAGCTTTATGGAAAATTAAAAAAATCAATAAAATAAAAGGAAAATTGTTAGTAAAGATGAGCTGGATACTGTCTGTGATATTGTGACTTATAAAAAGAAATATATATTTGGTCTTTGTCCTGTTTTTGGAACCAACTCCTAAAACCCTTGTAATTTCCTAAGTGATAAGAGTGATAAAGGTGTCTTCTCTTATTCAGAACCAGCCCCTTTCCACCACACTGGAGTTTATGTTAATAAAGTGACTTTTGGAAAGCCTCTAAGGATGGGGCTGGCAGCCAAGGGAACCAACCTTGTGAGAGGGTTGGAACTTTCAGCCCCATCCTTGACCTCTGGGGAGAGGAGGGTGGAGGCTGAATTAATCCCCAATGGCCAATGACTGAATCAATCCTGCCTATGTAATGAAGCCTCCATAAAAACCCAGAAGGGTGGGGGGTTTGTAGAGCTTCAGGGTTGCTGAACAGTGGAGGTGCTGGGAGGGCGGCAGGCCCAGAGTGGGCACGGATGCTCTGCACCCTTTCCCCACCCCTTACCCTGTGCATCTCTTCCATCTGGCTGTTCCTGAGTTATAACCTTTTATAATAAACTGGTCATCTAGTCAGCAAACTATTTTCCCGAGTTCTGTGAGCTGCTCTAGCAAATTAATCAAACCTGAGGAGGGGGCTTATGGGAACCTCTGATTTATAGCTGGTTGGTCAGAAGCACAGGTGACACTGGACTTGTGACTGGCGTCTGAAGGAGTCGGGGGGCGGGGCAGTCTTGTGGGAGAAGCCCTTAACTTGTGGGATCTGATGCCAAGTCCAGGTAGACAGTGTCAGACCCAGCTGGAGTCCAGAGAGTTGGAGGAGTGCTCGGTGTGGGAACACTCCCCACATCCGGTCACAGAAGTGGCCGGCGTGAGTCTGGAGTAGAGGAGAAGAACAGTTTTCCTCTTGCTGCCACTCCCCAAAGCTCTAAGCTTAAGGTTGCTCTCTTCATTTACAGGAGAAATTAGCAGTGTCAGGTCACGAGGACATATTAGCCCCAAACTGGCACCCTCTCCTGGTCAGTAACGGAAAGGACTGCAGGACAACTGCAGGTAACCACCGAGCCATCCAGGCCCGTGCCAGCGGCATCTCTAGGCTCCCATCTGTTCACAACACGGCAAGATCGCGGGCCTGCAGCACAGATTAACTGGGTGCCAGCTCCAGCTCCACCTGTGCACGTGACCCTGGGCAGCACCTGAACATCCCTGAGCCTCAGGTTATCATCTGTACAATGAATGTGCCTTCTACTCTGAATGGTCCCTGGGAAGGTGGAACAAGAAACAGACAAAAAGGACCTTGTATACTCCCAAGTGCTCTGTAAACATAAGGGATGATTACAGTAGATTTGAAGCATAGTCTACCAATCAAGCAAAGCCCAAAATTCAACCCAAATGCTGCAAGGAACCTTACGTCTCTCTTGGCTGGCTACTCCTGACCGAGGCCCAAGTACAGAACACTGCCTGGACAGACATGCTCTAGAAGCCGAGAAAGAAGGAGACTGCAGCGTCACTTACGTTGTTTGAATTTTGGTGAACTCAGGGACTTCATCTTTTTTCTTTCTGAAGAGGAACCAGTAGGTCAGGAGACCCACAATGAGTGAAAACAGAAGCACGTCCGTCATGCTGAAAAGAGAGACTTCTTCAGCTACTGTCTCAGACATGGTGGTGCTGGCATCCATGTTGGAGTCCCTCATGTTGATCACAAAACTGTCAGGAGAGAGAAATGACAGACATCAGCAGGGAAGAGCAGGGTCCACCTAAGGCCTGCTGGGGAGCCCCCGAAAGCTCCAGATGGGTCTCGATGCCCCAAGGGCTGCAGCAACAGGCAAAGCACTGGGGGCAGGAGCTGCTGGCTCAGCGAGGCCCCCACCAAAACACAGCTGCGGCCTTGGACCGGAACTAAAACAGCAAGCGGCCCTCATGGTGTCGGCCCAGCCCAGGGTGTACCTTGCATGCAGGCTACAGCTGGAGCCAGGACTGGGCCCCCTGCAAACAGAGAGAACGGAAGCCACAGATACCCAGTGCCATTGAGCATCCTCAGCCCCATGAGGACACAGCAGAGGGCTGGTTCCACACGAGAGAGAGGGCCACTTCACTACAAACCCCTTCCCCAAATGTAAGGCAGGCCTGGGTTTGCCCCACACCCTGCATATTCCAAAGGTCTTCAGGACTGGCCCTTGGATGGCACCTGGGAAATAACCTGTGAGCCCTTGGAATATGCTGCCTGATAAGAGTGTCTCTGTATACCTCAGACCTTGGGCCACGCAGATAGTTAATGCCAACACTGTAATTTAGGGCGAACTCCTAGGGCTCTGAGTCACATTGTATCAGCTCCACCTCTGGGGCGCTGGAGACTGAGTAGTAAGTTTAGAGATGTGGGCACTCCCTGCCTACAAGACGGACTCCCAGTAAAAACCCTGGACACCAAGGCTCGAGTGAGCTTCCCGGGTTGGCAACACTTCATACCCGCTGCTGGGAGAGCAAGGCACTGCCGTGTGACTCCACTGCAAGAGGACAGCTCGAAGCTTGTGCCTGGTTTCTCCTGGATCCACCCCACGAGGCCTTGCCTTTTGTTGATTTTAGTCTGTATCCTTCTGCCATGATAAACCATAACTGCTTTTATGAGTTCTGTGAGTCCCGGTGAATCACAGAAACCAGAGGCTGGTCTTGGGGACTCCCAACACAGCAACCTAGGTAGTTCCCTTGAAAGATGCTCAGCAGTCCTTCCACCATTGAAACCTGGCAGGTAAGTAGAGCTCATATGAGTCAGCAAAGGCCTAGGGGAGAGTCCTGAAACCTCAGCAGTCACCTGCGCCTCCTATCAGTGAGGCTGGGATCCATATCACCCCGTTTGGCAACCACTACTATGACCAACTGGCTTGTTTTCGCCACGACCATGGTCCCCAGACTCAGTCAGGAGTGCCTAGTCATCATATCACAGCGGCTCAGGCAATGGGAGATTGCTTCACATCTGGCTTCCATTAGCTCCAGTGCCTCCAGGAAACCACAGGGCCGGCCCCCCGCAGCCAGGTCAGCCTTGCATCAAGGGCTCTGGGCAGCCCATCCGTTCTGCAGCCTGGTGGGAACAGGATGTTCAGAACAGGACTTCAAGCTTGGTTCTTTGTTTTGTCATTAATCTGGAGTGCTTTTCTACCGGCTGAGTTCCTGAGGTAATCTCAACTTAACCTCTTTTGATATGCAACCATCAAGGACAAACTTAACTCTAGTGCCCACGGAGAGTACTGTTTATATTTAAGTACTAACTTATAAACACATTTAATATTTATTCGATGTCAGTCATGTCTTTCTATCCAACCCTGTCAGTGTCATCTGTCATGCCCACAAGCCTTCTGTCAGGCTTCCACAAGACTTTTGGGAGAGAGGACCTGCTGAGATGGAGCCTGGAAGGACCTGTACCACAGAATCATGATGCGCAGACACATAGAGCCCGGCTGGAACCAGCTGGGGGCTGTGGTCTGGGCTGTGCTGACACAGGAAAGGCCCCAGCTGGTATCCCTCACAAAGCAAGTCAATGGACATCGCCTTGTCCCACCGCCCTTCCGACTCAGGGTGCCGGGCCCCCTTTACTAAAGCTCAGGAAGTTACATGGGTGTTTGTGGACAAGCTGACTGCACAACTCAGAAGAGAAAGGTTATTCCTGCAGCTGGTTTCTAAGGTGACAGTGTCCTGGAGAGCAAGGGAAGTGGCACATCGGCACTCACACAATCCCATTCTAAGAACATTTGGTTCAAGCCACCCAGACCACTGCACCTGACTCCTAATGCGCCGTTCTCCACACAGTAGCTAGAGGGATCCTATAAAAAGTAAGTCAGATCTCATCACCTCCCTAATCAAGACCCTCAAATGCCTTCATGTCATACTTAGTGAAAATCTAAAGTCCTTACCGGGTCTACGAGGCCCACATGGTTCAGCCCCTGGATACCACTCCCACCACGTTTCTTACTGCTCTCCCCTTTCCCCACACCTCACCAGCCACAATGGCCTCGTTGCTACCCCTCCAGCCTCCAGGCCTGCTCCTGCCTCAGGCCCTTTGCACACGTTAATGCTGTTGCCTGGACTCTCTTCTTCTAGTTATCTGCAGGGTTCTCTCCCTCACTTTGTTCAGGTCTCCATTCAGATGTCACCATCTCGGAGAGACGTCGCTTCGCTATAGTATCTGGTCACTCTCCCTCCTCTTGCCTCCGCACAGCACTGAGCACTTGCTACCTGACATTATGTTATACATTTTTTCCCACTGGCCCTCTCCCCGACTCCAGGGTCAGCCCACAAGGGTGGAGATCTGGCTTTGTTCACAGCCTGGCAGATAATGAGCACCTAACGTCAACTTGCTGAATAAATGGACACAGGATTCTAGATAGCAAAGCGTGGGCTGGCAAAGCATGGCATCCGATAATGGAGCGGTTTTATAATCTGAAAAGCACAATACAGACACATCATTACAACCCAACTTGTGAGGCTGCATTCCCTCCTCTCCACTCGTGCTCTGTCCACCAGCTGCACTTACTGCGTCTCTCAGCATCGCAGGCCTCTCCCTTTGAGTTCAGAGTAAGGACTCCATGGATTCCTGCACCACTGTGGACACGACCAGGCGCTGCCCTCTGGGAACGTGACTGACTCCCTGCAGCAGGGAGGGGTGGGGCTCAGGCCCTGGGGTCCCCACCAGCACGGTGGACGCTGCCAGCGTCCAGACATGGGGACCAGACATGGGGTCCCAAGAGAACTGAGGACGTCCCCGACAGCTCTGACTCTGAGCCATAAAACTTGAGATGGACGGGAGCTGCGGAGGAGCAGTGGACAGGACCCAGTGATCATTTGATCCGAGGCCTCGATCTATAAGGGGGGCTTGGAGGCTCCATGGGGGTGAGCAGATCACTCAAGTGGCAAAACTAGGAAGGGGCCCCTGCTTCCCAGGGGAGGCTGTCCTCAGTACTCATCTAAGGAGAAGACTTATTGGACATGTGTCTCTCCCCCACTCTGCCGTGAGCTCCTGAGGGAAGAAAAGTCTTGGTCTCGTAGGCACCTTTGTACCTGGCCTGTGATGGGACGGAAGGACTGGCAGGCTGGCAAGAAGGAAGTCAGCCTGGGAGGAAAAACCTTAACCCTAGGCTTCCTTCCCATCTAGGATAGGAGCAGTGTGCCTGGGGTAGAAGCCGTGAGCAAGCTGATTAACCATTACGATGATCTCACTTAGGCCACTATTTTCACAGTGAGCACACACAAACACCCACCCATCTCTCCAGCCTGCACCTCTGTATCCCTGCCCTAGTGCCTTTACATGTGCCCAAAATGCTCTTCGTACTCTGTCTGCAGACCTCACCTCAACTGTCACTTCCATGGGCCATGTTTCCCTGGCATAGTGCTTGGTACATAATTCAGTGCTCAATAACCACCCAGGGAATGAGTGAAGGGCGTCAGCGAACACATTACGACACACGGACTCTAAAATCCGCAGGAACCAATAACATGAAGTGTGCAGACTTAAAAGAAATTGGGGCTGGTAGTGTGCCCATTTGCCAATCCTCTAGACAGAGGTTCTCAAACTTTCTCAGCTCATGGAGCCCCTAGTATCTCAGTAAAATGTTCATGCTCGGCTTGAACATGCTCAACCCAAGAAACACCTAACACTTCCATTTATGAAGGAGGTAGGTCTGAACAATCACTGAAACCCCAGCTTTGCAAAGACACAAAGTCATCAAAGGAAAGTGGAAGCTCTAATGTTGAAACCGTGAACCACCCCAAGCGAGTACTAACGTGGACATGTGGGGACTTTCATGGCGTTGGGAAACAAGGCCCCTCTGGGAGTTTGCTGTGGCGCCCTGAGGCAACTCGGCACAGTCTGGGAACCCAGACCCCACGACACACAATCACGCTCGTCCGCTGAGTGAGATATGTTGATGGGGAAATTTTGGAAGTCCTGCTTGACGAGTGTGCTCCATTTCACGTGTGGCAGGGTGACCACGAGACAGTTATCTGAGGTCCCCACAGGCATTCCAAGGAGACTTTGGGAGCCCTGTGTGATCTTTCTGCCCTGGAAGGGTCTTCAATCTGTGAGTCGTTTCTTCTTTCCACATTTAGTGGAAAGGAGGAACACCGGACAGCGCAGGGCTCATGGGGGCCAAACGCAACATTTGTCAGCAACAGGAAGGAAAAAGATGAAATGGACATGAGAAAATAGAAAGAGTAACCTCTTAATAGACCAGGCTCTTGCCACAGCTCTGCCACCAGCTGGCTGGGACTCCAGGCAAATCCCTTAACGGCAGGAGGCTTTGATGTCCTCATCTGTGAAATCAGGCACAGAAAAAGGGGTATGTCCAAAGGCTAGCCAAGTAGGTCTTCCCCACCCCAAAGACAGCAGATCTGATCTTTGATCTTTTATTACAAATTAATCTGTACATTAGTTTTCATTTTTACTATAAAAGACAATGTACACACAGAAAAGGGGATATAAATAGACAGGTATTTAGATAGATGCTATTCCTCCTGAATTTCAACAGCTGGCCAGTTCCCACTGATGCTGAGGGCCAAGGGTAGCAACTCCAGTCCTGGTGCCAGAGTGAGCAGGCAGCCTGGCACACTGCAGAGCAGGGTGGACAAATCACTGGCCACCGAGGCAAGGGGCACTGGCCCTTTCACTAGCTTCTGAAAGGGCAAATAAGGCAAGAATAGAGGGCCCTTTCTCTGTCTGA